CCCCCAGGCCCGCCGCATACCCCTGCCTACTTCTTCCCTTTTCCCACCCATAAAGGCGCCGCCAGGCAGCGCCGATAAGCTGATATCCATGGCTTGGACCCCCGGCACAGAAGGCCCGGGTCTGTGTCGGCCCTTTGGATCCCGCTGTCGCCAAACTCCCTCCCTCGCCCGCGTTAAAATCCTGGGGGCCCAAGAGGGAGAAAGAGAAGCCGGGCATCAGGGGGCCAGGGCACAGCCCTGGAGGGGCCAAACCACCCCCTCCAGGCGGGGGGGGGGGGGGCCACAGGGCACCTGCCTCCCAGTCAGGCCTGCACGGAGGCCTCCCCCACCCCCGCACCCCCTCCACCCCGGGCCCCCCTCCACCCCTGGGCCCTCCGCACCTTGAACCCCACTCCACCTCTGGACCCTTCCCACCCCTAACCCTGGACCCTCCACCCCTGGACCCCCCTCCACCCCCGGACCCTTCCCACCCCTGGGCCCTCCACCCTGGCCCTGCAAACCCACTCTGGGCCGAGTGCCTGGGCGCATAATCCAGCCGCCCCAGGACCAGCTGAACCACTTCATGCGCTCGAGGAACAGAAGAGCAGCGCCCAGGCGGAGAGCTGTCCCGTATCTGGCTCAGGTCATCACCTAACTGCCCAGCCAGCGATGGAGGCTGCTCCCCACCAGCCTGCCCCCCACCAGCCTGCTCCCCACCAGCCGGCTCAGCGCCCTCCCCTCAGCCCCTCACCCTCCTGCGCAGCCTCCTGAGCTAGTCGCTGGAGGTCAGGGCTACAAAGGATGAAGTGGAAACAGCTGAGAGCGCTTCGTAAGGAGAAGGGCCTGACGGAGGCTCCTTCCTGGTGCCGTGGCTACAAGGACGGCCAGGGCCCTCGCACAGCCCCTCACCCAGCAGGGGCCCAGGTCCCCGGGCAGGCGAAGTCCTCATGCCCTCCTGGGCGGGCCCTGGGCCGAACAGCCTGTGGGGCCCAGCTCCCAGCAGGCTCCCAGGTTCCCTCGCCCTTTCAGCGCGGGTGCTGGGGCGGGAGCAGGCTCCTCACTGCCTGGGCGGGCGAGGCACGGCTGGGGCACCCGCCAGGACCCTGGGCTATCGATTCCCAGATCCAGCCCATTCGGACCTCGCAGAGCAGTGCCCGGCCCGGAGCTGAGCCTTCCGGC